CAAATAGCACGAAATTAAATTAGTCGGTTTTGGGTGGTGACTTTAACATTAATTTTGCAGTTGATAATTCCAAACCATTAATTAACTTTCTAGAAGAAAAATTTAGTCTACAGCTAAATAATAATCCAAACACACCAACTACAAATTCAGGAACGACAATAGATGCTATTTTTACAAGATATTTAGATAATGTTGAAACACGAGCTTATATTGCATATTTTACTTATCATAATGCGTTAGTCACAACAATACCAATAGAGATCGCGTCGAATAATGTAAATATTGCAGAAATAAATTAAAAAAATTAAATTTATATTTTATATTAATTTTCAACACTTAATATTTTAATGACAATTAAATTCCTAACATATCTTCCTTTTTCCCTTCCTCTAAGTCTCGGAAATGTAAAGTTTTAGATTTGTATAAATATAAGCAAGACTTATAAATTAGTTCGCCAAAGAAGGTTCACTTCTGACATGTGTACTTTGTACGCACGCACTTTTTTTTCCCTGCTCATGCCGTTAGCCTTGAGAGGCTACATCAGCGTTACCCTAGCGTGTAGGCGAGCTCTCAGGGCTCAAACCAGAGGTGTTGCTAACACTGGTTCTAGCAAGAGCAGTGCTTCCCAGAATCTACCACCGGATCGGAAACGTGACCCGCTGAGAAGATCCGGCGAGAAACTCAGTGGGCTGTTTGTGGGTGTACCGACACACTGTGCATAGTCGCAGACTCAAATGTGGGTTTAGCCCTCGACATCGAAGCCGCGGCGCCGCGGCGGCTTGCGATTTGCTGTTGACGCAGGCGGCTCTGAAACAGTTGTACTGTGCGATAAGACTTAGCGGTTACATTGGTAGTGCTGACCAATGGTTCGAGGCGTTCTCGGAAGTGAGATAACTATAATAATTAATTAACACTACTGGTTAATCGTAGAGTTTATTCGCGACCATAGATTATACACTTAATATATTTTTCGCGACTAAAACTTAAAAAGTAAAAAGCAACGGAGCTTGCGGGCGCAGCCGCATGTTATGACCACGCACAATTTTGTTTATGAGTCTTGAGACCTTAGAACTTATATCTCAAGGTGGGTGTTGCAGTTACGTTGTAGATGTCTATGGGCTCCAGTAACCACTTAATACCAGGTGGGCTGTGAGCTCGTCCACTCATGCAAGCAATAAAAAATAAAATAAAAAAATAACGCAAATTACAATTAAGTCCTTCATCGTGAAAGTCATTTATTGAACATGAGTTGGGCGTGGATCAAGGATGGCGATCTGAAATCGATTAATCGAAAAAATACTTCTAGGGAAGAATATACCTCTTTTTTTTTATAGAGATGTTTTTTTTAAGTCGATATGTAACACTGAATCGATATTTCAAGAATGGGGTTTATCATAATCATAAGTCATAACACTAATACATAAATCACGACTTCAATCAATCTAATCAATGAAGCCTTTTTAAATTGATATGGAGCTGTTCGATGAACTGAATCGAACTGAATCGATGTTCAATTCTAAAAAATTAACAGTTGATTTTTTTTGTTTTGGTAAAACACATTTTAGTTGGTGTTTTTTTTTTTTTTTTNTATATTAAATCTAAAATCATTAAATAAATTTATTTCAAAGTCCCATTTTAAAATGGAAGACTACCGAACAGCTTCAAAATTAATACCAAAAGATGGATATTTAGCTACGATTGACTTAAAAGAAGCATACCTACTTGTGCCAATTCATCCTCGGCATAGGAAGTATTTACGATTTCATTTCGAAACTGTTGAAAATAAGTTGGTCACATATGAATTTACAGCTATGCCATATGGACTTTCTGTGGCACCTAGGGTTTTTACAAAAATTATGAGAGAACTATTTTCCTGTTTGAGAAGTCGTGGTCATGATTCAGTTATCTATTTAGACGACACTCTTTGTATAGGGAGTGATTACCACATGTGTTCTTCCAATGTAAATGACACATTAAAGTTAATGAAGTGTTTAGGATTTGTTATAAATGTCGACAAAAGTTATTTACAACCTAATCAAACGTGTAAATTTCTAGGTTTTATCTTTAACACCACAAATTTGACAATATCTCTTCCGGAAGAGAAACGTACTAGTATTATTCAGTTGGTTCAAAAGTTCTTGCGAATATCTCATTGCTCTATCCGTGAGTTTGCACAATTGATTGGAGTACTTATTGCTGCTTGTCCAGCAGTTAAGTATGGTTGGCTTTACACTAAGATGTTAGAAAGACAAAAGTATCTTGCATTATTGAATAATAACGATTATGAAAAAGAAATGGAAATTCCAAAAACTATTTTTCCAGAGTTAAACTGGTGGAGTTCAAGTACACTTACTACATCAAACCAGATGCGAAATACGGGTTTTAATAAGGAGATTTACACTGACGCATCCCAAACAGGCTGGGGCGCAGTTTGCAACGGAAATCGCGCACATGGTTGGTGGTCAGTGAGTGAACGTGAATTCCACATAAATTATTTAGAATTGTTAGCAATTTTTCTAGGCCTAAAGAGCTTATCACGCAATGAGTCAAACTGTTCAATACTATTACGTGTCGATAATACCACAGCTTTAAGCTACGTGAACCGAATGGGAGGGATTCAATTCCCTCATTTAAATGATATTACACGTCGAATTTGGCGATGGTGCGAAGAGCGCAACATAGTTATTTATGCATCGTACGTTAATACAAAAGATAACCGCGCTGACGCTGAATCAAGGATTGTAAACCCAGATACCGAATGGGAGTTGTCAGACTGCGCCTTTCACTCCATCATGTCGCATTTTGGTCAACCGGAAGTTGATTTATTTGCCTCTCGTACCAACGCCAAATGTCTAAGTTTTGTGTCCTGGAAACCGGATCCAGAAGCAATGGCTGTAGACGCGTTTACTATTAATTGGAAGAGTTGCTACTTTTATGCTTTTCCGCCTTTTTCAATTATTTTAAAGTGCTTGAGAAAAATTGTAGATGACATGGCAGACGGTATTTTCGTTTTTCCGTTTTGGCCTTCACAGCCCTGGTTCCCGTTGTTACAGAGATTAATGGTCTCTGAGATTATGTACCTCAATCCTCATAAATTTCTATTACAATCTAATTTCAGGGAACATCACCCCCTGCATGCACACCTTACCCTGGGTGTCGCGAGGCTCTCCAACAAGCCTTCGCTCAACGAGGATGCCCTCCGGAGGCTTTAGTTTTAATGCTGGCTTCGCTCTCCGAAAGTACGGTAAAACAATACAACGTGTCTTACAAACTGTGGTGGCAGTTTTGTAATCAATACATTATAAACGTTTTCTCACCATCTTTATCATTTATAATGTTATTTTTGGCTGAACAGTTTAATACAGGTTGCTCGTACAGCAGTCTAAACTCGCATCGATCTGCGTTGTCATTGCTCGTTGGTAGCAATCTTACTGCCGATGATAGCGTAAAACGATTGCTTAAAGGGGCATATAAATTGAAACCAAGTGTTCCCAAATATATCCAAACATGGGACCCCCAAATTGTTTTAAATTACCTAAAAGAATGGTTTCCTAACATAAATTTAAGCCTAGAAAAAATTACAAAGAAGCTTGTGACCCTGTTAGCTATTTGTACTGGTCACAGAGTCCAAACTCTGTCTCTTATAAAATTGGAAAATATTTCATTCACAAGCAGTGGTGCAAAAATAGTAATTTCCAATTTAATTAAGACGTCCGCGCCGGGCCGTGATCAACCTGTATTAGTATTACCAATTTTTACACATAATGTAAATATATGCCCTGCAACTACATTAGAAGATTACATTACTGTGACAGATAATAAAAGATTGCAAAACAATGGTAATCTTTTATTAACTTTTAAGCATCCACACAAACCAGCCACGACCCAAACAATAAGTCGTTGGATAAAACAAGTACTTTCGGAGAGCGGAATAAACGTGTCGGTGTTTGGTGCCCACAGCACACGACATGCATCTACTTCTGCCGCTTTCAGCGCAGGCGCCAGCGTTGACACTATACGTAAGGCTGCTGGGTGGACATCCTCGTCTAGCGCTTTTGCCCGGTTTTATAACCGCGTACTGATCGATGATGGGAACTATGCGAAGTCTGTCTGTTTATCATCATCAAGACAATAATTTGATTGTCACATGATATACAAAATAAATAATTATCAAATTAAAAATAAAAAAAAAAAAGTTTTATTTAAACCACAGCACAACTTTCCAACGAACTCCTCTAAAAATCTACGTGGTAAATATTATATCTGAAAAATGAAGCGATGAAATATAATATAAGATCAAACGAACTTCCCAAGTGAAGTTCGATCATTATTATATGAATCGCTTCATTTGAAGATATAATTCATTATCACCCGCCCAACCCAAGCTACGCAATACCCAGGAAAGTTTTGTTTTTAATCTCTAAAAATGAGCTCTGAGCGGCACGGCTCCGCTTGGCAAGACAAGACAGTAGTGGGAGTGTGACGCCACTTTTGTTTTTGAGTCAATTGACTGTCTCTTAAACGTGCAAAGTCACCAGTAGGTTAAAGTTACTACGTGGTAAATATTATATCTTCAAAAAGCGATTCATAT